TGATTATAAGACAGTCGAACACATGTTCTACCTTGATTTTGTGTTTGTCAATTATTTGTGAGCACCCCTCCCCCCACCTCTCTGAATTGTACAACTTCTAATGTAGGAACCTCACAATATAATGGCGGATCAAGATAATCCCCCCTGTGAGGTATGAATACTTTACCAATTGTTTACCAAAAGGTGCTTTACTGTTTTCCTTAGTGACTCCAAATTCATAAGCAGGGCTTTGAGTACATTTCTGACCTAGGGGAGCGTTCATATGGGTCTATTTCTGGAAAAATAATGAATCTCTCCAACGGACATCATCTTGTTGGACAATATGTCCAAGAAGTTATGATCAAGAAGGGTGTGCATTTGAAGATGAAACACTTTGATATCCTGAAGCAGTTTCAACATTCCTGCGCTATACCTCTTCTCAACTTTTACCCAGAATCTATGAATATGGGCAGATTAATAATACCCAAAGTCGATGATGCATTTGACAATTGTTTTCTTGGGATAGAAACAGAAGTTCTATTTGATTCAGATGGAGGAATGAATAGATTTTTCAGAAATTCTGTCATGTAAGTAGTTTGCGTTTATCCATGCTTAATTATGATTTCATATTAAATTTCATCCCAATGTTATGAATTGTCGTTTATATTTGTTGGTAACTTCAGAAACTAACCTAGTTGTGTTAGTAATCCCTCTTTTGTGTATCTTATTTAAAGTGAGCTATGTGATATGATAAACAAACTCCACGGGATGAATTTCATTCTGAAAGATGGTATAACTGTGCCTAATTTATATGTACAGAAGCTATCAGATGGTCAGATAAAAATCATGTTCCTCCTGTCAGAAGGTTTGTCCTGCTATATGATCTATGTTTCAAGTTGGTGCTTGTATTTTTGTCATTGATTCTGTATTGGTCGAAATTTAGTTCTGGTGTTCTGGCTCTCCCAGCCATTAAAGGACACATTAATAGGCAGCGTGGGCCATATTTCAAGAAAACTTTTGTAGATATTAGTTGTTATATGTAAAAATCTTCATGTGAATTTCTTTTGTACAGTAAAAGAATCAAAACAAACTAGTGCTGAAGGAAGGTCAGATTGGAACTCACTCAAAGTGCTTGTGGAGCGGTGCTTCTCAGAGAAACATGTTCAGATGAAGTCTGTCACGAGATCGTGGATAAATTTTATTGGACAACAGTCATTTACCATTGACAAGATGAGAGGGTACCCTGATAACTGGAACTGGGTAAGGAAAGGGGAGTACCTAATGACCCTTAAATCGAGGGATCATCGGGCGCTGCAAAATTCACTAAGAGGGACTGGTATTACATGGCCTGATGAACCATTGCCTTATGAACTGCAAATTATAGTTGATTCATCAGCATCTGAAGGGCGTCATTACAGTAAGGAGGTTCCACTCCACTACCTGGTAATGCTCGCTAATGCTTATAAGCATTTCTACTCAATGGGTCTCCATGATATTTTCGGGGACCTGGAAATCTTTGTGAAGTATATCGAAGTGTGGACGACCACAATTTGGACTGAGCTGTTTGAGATAATAGGTAGGTCATCTAATATTGCATGCTTAAAAGTTTGATGATAACATTTTTTAGCAACTTTGTTCACAGTTATGTTTATACAGGTTGGCTAGTTAGCCAGCATTTCCATAGTTCTTTCATTTTCAGAAATTGACAGTTATATTTGTACAGGTTGGCCAGTTAGCCTGCATGGTAAATAATCTCCATAGTTCTCCTTTCCTTTTGAGAAAAAGATCAGTTATAACTCCTTTTCCCTGACTCTAAGGTCAGTTATAACTAGTACACGACTGTTGGAGCTTATGTGTATGATGCTGTTTTTTCAGGCATCAAGTATGTCAGGGAAATATTATGGTAATGTTGACCCAGAGCCGCTTCAAAGTTAAAGCCATATCATTTGGTCACCCAGGAGCTGAAGATCCTGAAGCCACTTCAAAATTAAAGCCATAGCATTTGGTGACCAAGGAGCTGCAGATCCTGAATCCATCTAACTGCCTAGGAGATCTTGTCTGGTGTCTTCTGATTAGAAATAAAACCTACTTATGGCTTGTCACAATTACTGTACGATTGCCTGGACGCTGAAATTTTCGCATTTAGTGTGTTGCACCACGTGAGCCTTGGCGCAGTGGTAAAGCTGCTGCCTTGTGACCAAGAGGTCACGGGTTCAAGTCCTGGAAACAGCCTCTTACAGAAATGTAGGGAAAGGCTGCGTACTATAGACCCAAAGTGGCCGGACCCTTCCCCGGACCCTGCGCAAGCAGGAGCTGCATGCACCGGGCTGCCCTGCCCTGAGTGTGTTGCACCACGTCAGTTAACTTGTTTCATTTTTTTAGTATAGAAGAAACACACAGACGTTTCAGTTGCATGTTCTTTTCATGCATCAGGGCTATAGAATTAAGTTTCAGGGACTATTGGAGATGATGAAGTCAGGAGTCAATGCATAAAACCATCATATTTGGCGCGTGATTAATTGTTTGCCACAACATCACATTTCGTGGACGTCAAACCACCATCGGAATTTTCATTTTTTTTACCAATCGCGTTGACTATTCTATAAGTGCTCTTTAATGACGTTTCTAACTGACGGGGAGGACCCGTCGGGCTGAGTTGACAAAAAAGTGCCATGGGGGCATACGTTGACTTGATCTTTTTTTTTCTCGTCGCACACCACACGCTGTGTTGCTAAGTCTCGCGACTGTCAGGCGTCAGCGTCATGGAAACCATCATATTAGGCCCGGACGCGGCTTGCCATCCGTGCGGCGTGTCCATCGCACGCCCCTGGCTCCACGCACGCAACGGTTGATCCTGATTTTAAGTGAAAAAAACAAAATACACATCGTAATACTGATTCATTTTCGTAATACTCTCATCACTAAAACAGAACACAAGCCCTGCGGAAATAATCTAATCACCCGCCAAAAGAACCACAGAATACACAAAAGGGCACCAAAATGCAAGATCTACATCTCATATGAGGCGGAAGTGACCTTACAGCCTTAAAGCGCACAATTATCAATAGCGGCTTAACCAGGAATCAGGAAACTCTTCTCTTCAATTGAGCAGCAAAGGAATCCGCGTCCCTGATGGCTTCTCCGAGTCTTGCATCCCTGACGACTTCTCCGAGGAGTGTTCCAGGGAACCAGGACACTGACGAACAATCTCATGCACCAAAAGTAAGAAATCTCATTCGGTTCTGACGATGAATCGGCGGCAAATTCTCCAATTTCTTTGTTTTGAACCATTGCGGGAGACTTCACATCCAGCAGTACACACAAATATGTTTGCCTAAAAGATTCACTTTTCATCAACTGTGATATGATCTAGAGTGTTGGCCGGGAAAAAGCAGTGTGCTGCACCCTTGTAGAACTTCTACAGGAATCTGTGACCGCATTCTGCAAAAGCCAAACAACAATGCAAAGTTAGTTTTTTAATTTTTTTTTAGAAAAACAAAGCAGTGTCATGCCAATTTCAGACGTTCTTGTACCATCTCTGATTTCAGGTTTTGGAAAACATGCACTACAGTTTTTTCTATTCCTTTTACAATACATATAGTTCATGGACAAACATAAGAGATAGTTGAATATACTTGCACAAACTGTGTACTGATATGAAATATAAACAGAACAAGGACTCTAGAGTGCATCCTGATTTCTTCTCTAAAACTTAAGACTCCTGATGTCTCAATGCACTCCATGTTTCTTAAGACAAATACGATTGCAAGAGATATAAATATGATTTATGATGCAGTTCATAAAAACTCATGATAGGCAAATATGATTGCTATATGTGTGTATTAACTAAATTGAATCCTAACTGATATAGGATCAAGAAACTGCAGTAGATCACACCGATGAAAGGGTACCAAAGCTTGGCATGAAATTTTTATCTGAAGAGGAAGCTTATTTATTTTATAACAAGTATGCTAAAACCATTGATTTTAGCATCAGAAGAAGCAGTGGTCATAAAGTGATAAACTCTTCTACATTTCAGCAACGGACATTTACATGCTCTCGTCAAGGTATGGGTTATCTTCATTTTTTAAATTATAATCATTTATTTATGCTCTAAGACAATTACAACAACTTATAGGCCATCGCCGAGAAGATAAAAGAGAGGAGACATTCATTTACAGTAGGCCTGAAACACGATGTGGTTGTGATGCCCGTATGAAGATTAGCCTTAGAGATGGATTTTATTATGTGTATGAATTCGAGGCGTCACATAACCACACTCTTGCTAATGGACTCATGGCCCAATACTTGAGATCCCAGAGAAAAGTGACAGAAGCACAAATAGCAAACGCAGAGGTTGCAAAGTCAGTTGGCATTTCAAATAAAGCAACAATCGATTTGATGGCTAAAGAAGCAGGTGGAAGTGAAAACCTTGGCTTTACACCTCAAGATATGAAAAATTGTTTGTACTCAAAGAGAACAATA